GAGAACCAAGGCAAAGCGCCACATTATCTACATTAGCCACTATAGTGGGAAAAGATTCTATGTTTATATTCTTTTTTAGGGGGGCGGGTACCGGGGATTGAACTCAGGACTTGGCACTTCTGAGGCAGATGGTGTTCTGAGCTAAATCCTAGGCCCAACTGTATGTTTAATTTGGGATAGGTGTACTCTCAGGTACCTGTGGGTTTAATTAGTTCACGTCAGCTGTGGGGATCTGCCAGCACTGTGCTGACTGGTGGGGGCGGAGAGGACTAAGATGAAGACCATGTGTTTAGGTAGATTCCACACTGCAGGAGACCTGCAGGAGGATCTGAATCCCCAAGGCCTGTATGTTCCCTTTTCTTTCTGGAAAACCTCCCAAAGATTAAGCCGGGTGGCTTTTCCTTTTCTCAAATAGCTCCTAGATTCTTGTTCTTTTTCCTTCCCTCTTGGATTTAGACAGTGGGAAACAAGTACTTTTGGAAAGAAACCCAGTTGCAGTGTGATAGTTAACAAGGGCTAGGAAATCTTAGAAAGTTCTTAATGGACTTCTTTGGGCCACAGTTTCGGAAGACGATTCTTTGCTGCTATCTCAAATCTTGTACTTCTGGCTCTCTTCCCATTCCCGAAGGTACTGCTCTAGAAACTACCCACTTTCTTTTGTCTCCACTCTTCTCTTTCTTTGGACAAGGCCAGCTTTCCAAGCTTTAGCTCTTAGGTCTAAAGAGACAGCAGGAGGTAAGAATTAATGGATCTAGCTAGTAGCCAGGACCTAGGAAGTCATTCAAGTATCTAAGGGCCTCCTAAATAATGCCTGACTCTAAGCCCAACCCCCGCTTCTTCAGGTCTCCCAGAGAAAGGCTTTTGCAGGGGTTTCCAAATTGAGGCTTAGGAAAGGGGAGCTGGTTTTGCTATAGCAAGTCTGTTTATGAAATCGCTAACAAAGGATAAGGCAGATCCTTTCCTCAGTCTATTTCTGGCAAACTGATAATAATTTAAACCTGGCTTGATTTATTTCAAGGATATGTTTTTGGCAAAAAAAAATATGTATCAATAGCTTGGTGTTCTTAAAAATAGGGGATAGATTTTTTTTTTTCTTTTCCTTCTCTGGCCACTCTGCTACAAATCTTTATTATGCTAGGGTCAAACAATGTAAGAATTTATTTAGACATGCTAACAAATTTAACTCCTTAAATTCTCTGTGAACACCTAGGCCTACCATGGTTTTGAGCTCAAAAATGTGTTGCTGAAGTCTTGGAGCAGCTCGGTTTAGGAGTAGTTTGCAAGGCCTTTGATGATGAGATAAAGAAAAGGCTTTTCTTTCTTTTTCTCCTGGAACACACCTTTTGTGTGCTCTGCCTAACAAAGGAATCTCCCAATTTCATAGTGGAATTTGGGTGGAAAGCATGATATCTACATGCTTCTGCAAAGCCTGCTTCCAACCACAAAAGATTAAAAAAAAAAAAAGCTGGCGTTTTGCAATATAGTGAACGGAGGAAAAACCAAGACACTGAGAGCAATAAAAATAGCAATAACAAAATCCCAAAGGATTTGGAATTCCTTTAGTTTTTTTTTCGTTTGAGAATCATACGATTTCTTTGTTCTGCCCGTCTTATCCACTGTACTCAGATAATAGTTTTATTTTATTCTTATAGTCAATTATTATTTTATTATGCTTAAAGCAGAACACTGCAAAAAGTACCTTTTACATACGTAGAATAATAGAATGAACCTTTTGATGTTTTGGAAGAGGGTGGTGTCCTTTTTTTATATAACTTAGAAATAAAAGCTTTTTCAGCTGTGAAATTCAGTGATTTTGCAAAATGGACTAAGGATAGGCGCTTTTCTTTTAACTACTGGTCTATCTGGCAAAGGAATCTCTCTGGAATCCTCCTTGTAAATACAGAACTGAGATAATTTGCTAGAAATTATTATTTTTTACTTTTTGGTTGTTAATGGTATTTGAAGGCAGATTCAATATTATGTTGCCATTTGTGCAAATGATGAATTGTGCTTTTAAACCAAATTTAGCCAAGGGTTGACCAAAGCATTGGGTTTGTTTAGAGCCCTGCTCAAAAAGCATTATGAAGCCACAGGAGGCAGTTATACAGTTGAAGACTCCTTATGATAAACAATTCAGACTTTGGTTTTGGGAGTACAACTCTTGTAACCATTCAAATGCTGCTGTGTGGTGCTTTCAGCTCTAAGAGAATGGGGGAGGGGCAAGAGAACATGTTAAGTAAACAAAGATTCCAAATCTATGAAACCTAGGATTTGCTATGGTATGTATACTATGAAACTCAATACATTATTATATCCATAGTGTATCAAGATCTCAAATTAGCAAGGTCATTGCATACTCTTCAGTGCACATAATGTTTGTTTTTTGCATGCATATTAACAAAGGGCCACCTTTGGGAGAATAAAAAAGCTTCCTTTCAAATGAAATCAAGCCCAGGTAACGTGGAAACTCAACACACAGAGTACTGGCATTGTTTTCAGGCTAAAGAAGATGAGACTTTCAATTTCATCATCTTGTAACACTGATAAATGTGTTGCTGTGGCCAGCAAAATTTGCAGATTACATAGGTCTTTCTAAACGTGCAAATATATACAGATGCATTCCAATTTATGTGCAGCTCCAAACAATTTGCTGTTTGAAATTAAAAACTCTTTTGTGAGACAGTAATTCCAATCTTTTGTATGAAAAGTACTAAAGAGTCCCTCCAACCTACTTGATATTTACATCATATGTTGCCCCTATAACGAGAACAATGGCTTCCTCAATGGAAGTTAATGCAAGAGAAAGGACTACTGAGATTTTTTTTAACTTTTCTGCACACTTTGCAGACATTAATCAATCTAATTTAAAATAAAGCACATAGGAATGCTTCTTGCGCTGGGTCTTCACTGCTACTCCCCTGCTATTAGTGTCTTCAGGGTCAGATCAAACAGGAGTGTGCCTTTTTAAGAGGCAACGGTGACATTTTTTCAGATCTTTCCATTTTGTCCTATTTCCAGTGTCAGCAAAATTAGCTTGGCATGGAGGTTTCTCTGTCGTTTTAAAAACCTTCCAATGGCATGCATGTCTGGGAACAACATTGGAACCGGGACATGGGGCTGGAAAACAGTTCACCTCATAGAGAATGGAAATACATTGTTTCGCTCTAGGATGGGTTATGATTATTCCCCTTCGTGGCCTTTGGTGGGTTTATACATGTATCTTTTTGTGTTCCGTAAGCCATGACCACCTGCTGTATGTACAATATGTGCTTGTTACATTTGCACACCATTTCCCGTCTAGAATTTAAAGACCCAGCTATTAACATCTTGTTTACTCAATATCATTCCATTTAAAGAAAAAACCCTACATGAACAGAACATGCCATGTTTCAATCTGGCCCCAGTGGCTTTTTCTCTGAACGCAAAAACGTGTGTCTTTTACACCAGGGCTTTCTCCCCACCCCAGGGGGTGTCTTCCATTCTTTTGTGGCTCAGTTTAAGGCGAAAAGGGCTCCAAACCACTAACCAGAGGAGAGCCCCTTCTTCCACCTCCGGGGAGAATTTCAGATTTAATTCCTCTGAAGATAGCGTGCTCTCTTCTTACTTATTTGCCACCATTACGAGAACAGAACACCACCTTGGCTTCAAGATCCTGCCTGGGTAGAGGCTCACGGTCTTTCTCAACCATCTTTGGCGAGGCCTTGCTTCCTTCCACTCGAGTAAGTTGCGGCTTGGGGCCATGGAAAAGGACTGGGTGAGAGTCTGAAATGTCGTTTGAAAAAAAAAAAAAAAAAAAAA